AACTGTACTGGAGATTCTAGCCAAGACAAAAAGAAACAGAAGCAAACAGACTGAAGTGGAGGAGGTAAAATGGTTTTTATTATAGATGAAACGATAATACATGCAGAAAATCCTAAGAAATCTACAAAATAGCCACTAATAAGTGAGCACAGCAAGGCTGCAGGATACAAAGTCCACTCCCAAAACAAATGATATTTCTACATAGTAGCAACAAACAAATGGAAATTGAAATTAAAAACCAATACCAAGTATAATAGCATCAAAAAACAGGACACAGGTAGGGATAAATTTGACAAAAGATGTGTAAGACTTGAATACGTAGAACTGTAAAATACTGCTGACAGAAATTAAAGAAAATCTAAATAAATGGGGAAATATACCATGTTTAAAGATTAGAAGCCTAGATCATTAAAATGCCAGTTCTCCTAAAAGTGATCTAGAGTTTTAATCAGGCTTAAAACAAAACAAAACAAAACAAAAAAGAGGGAATTTATGATTTAATGTTAAAACTATATGGAAATGCAAAGGACGTAGAATAGCAAGAACAATTTTGGAAAAGGCAAGGTTGGAAGACTCAAATTACCTGCTCTCGAGTCTTACAATAGAACTACAGTAATCAATACAGGTTGGTATCAATGAAAAGAGAGATCTAGAACAAGAGAAAAGAGCTGGAAGTCCAGGAACAGACCAGTGTACATAAGACCAGCTGAGTTTCGACAATATTAACAAGCCAATTCAATAAGAAAAAGATACAATTTTCAACAAACGATGCAAAAAAAATGAACTTCTACTCCCACCTCACACTACATACAAAAGGTAACCCAAAATGTATCATAAGCCTATGTGCAAAATCTAAAACTTTAAAACATCTAAAAGAAAACATGGAAATTCTTAGTTCTTGTTTTGGCCATTATCTTTAACATAAGATGCAAAAAGCATCAAATTCAAAAGGAAAAACAACTGATAAACTTTATTAAAACTAAGTTTTACTCTTTGAAAGACACTGTTAAATGTCTAAGAAAATGAAAAGGTAAGTCACAGCTGAGGAGAAAGCATTACAAAACACGTAGCTGACAAAGAACTTGTATCTAAACTATATAAAGACCTCTTACAATGCAATAATATGAAGACAAAACAAAAAATGCTCAAAATATTTGCACGATTCCCCAAAAAGATATACAGATGGCAAATAAACACACGAAAATATGCCCAAAATTACTGATTAGGAAAATGCAAATAAAAGCTACGTTAAGACACTGTAAGATACTTGGGGCGCCTGGGTGGCGCAGTCGGTTAAGCGTCCGACTTCAGCCAGGTCACGATCTCGCGCTCCGTGAGTTCGAGCCCCGCGTCAGGCTCTGGGCTGATGGCTCAGAGCTCAGAGCCTGGAGCCTGTTTCCGATTCTGTGTCTCCCTCTCTCTCTGCCCCTTCCCCGTTCATGCTATGTCTCTCTCTGTCCCAAAAATAAATAAACGTTGAAAAAAAAAAATTAAAAAAAAAAAAAAATCTCACTCCCCTCCAAAGCAGAGACAATCGGCTCAGCCACAGAAATGTAACAATAAATAACTAAAAAATAATAAAGACCTCACCCCCCCCCACCCCAAATGCACAATCACAAGAGAATCCTTCAATATTAAGAGAAAGAAACCCTGAATGTCCAATGCTGGTTCAAGGAGGTGGGACAAAGCTCCAACATTCCCACAGCACTAGGGATTTATTTTCCAGTGATCCAAAGGAATAACCTTTCTCCTCTACCTCTTTCCAGATTAGCAGTCTCATGATCAATCTTTAATTAATAGAAATGCCCAAGGCACAGGGATAATAATTTAATTGATTACTTATATCGAAAAATATATTGCATGGTTAACTAAGTATGAGGCATTCATTTAATCCTCATTACTATCCTACAAGCAAACTGAGGCCCTGAGACATAGTTACCTGCCCAAAGTCATACACCCAATAAATGGTAGAGCCTGAAGTCAAACCCAGACAATCTGATGCTGCAGTCTGTGTTCTTTAAACACAAAGCTATATTATAGTACTTTCACATATCAGACATGTTTTTTTACCTTACAACATGCTGACGGTGAAACCTGTATGTTAGTACTGTGTTAGTAACTGTGTTAGTAACATACTACTGTATTTAGTAAGATCCTAAGATGCCTCATATATTAAGATATAAGATGCCTTATATAGTGAGATATAAGATGCCTTATAAGATCCTAAGATGATATTATAAGAATTGGATCAAGACACAAATGACATACTTTCAGCTAGAAGACATTTTATAAATTATTACAATTTCTTTAAAAAGTAATTCTATTAGCTCAGAAACCACTAAAATGGAATCCTTTAAATAGATCACACCTTCTGCCTTTATTCATTTTCATTATTAATTTAGTACCTCTAAATGAAAGTGGTTTTACATATTAAAACCTTCTTTACAGGAAAAAGAAATCTATGTGATATTTTAGTACCCAACATTTCTTTTTAAGGCAAATTCTTTTCCTGCATATAAGACACTAAGAATTAATTTTGCTTCTTCTACAGAAACATGTAAGAAGACAAATACACGTTTCTTGCAGAGTAATTTACCTTGAAACAAATCTTTGTATTCAGAAAAAAAGTCACAAAACTTTTTAAATAACCACTGCCACACAATTATTCATTCTCGCGATTAAATGATCTCACCGTCGTGAGATGAGCCCTGGGTCCGGCTCTGTGCTGACAGTGCAGCGCCTGCTTCAGATTCTCTCTGCCCCTCCCCCGTTCACGGGCACACGCACGCGCACCCTCTCTTTCAAAATAAATAAAAAATTTAAAAATGACACATTTAGTTGGCTGATTAGATAGACACATAAAGTCAACCTTTTATTTTCCCATTGAAGATATTATTGAACACCTGCTATACTCCAGGCACTGTTGCACATGGTAGAGATACAGCACAGAAGAGAACACACAAAAATCTCTATGCTCTTTGCAGTACATTCCAGGCGGGGGGGAGGTAGACAATAAATAAGAACATACAGAAAATGTATCCTATGATGATCAATCCAACAAGATAAATAAAACAAGGCAGGGGTTAGGAGTGCAGGGGCTGGGGCAGGCATTTGAAAAGAGAAGGGTGTAGTTGTCTTTTAAAAAGCCCCTCTTCACACATCTTTTGTTGGGATCAGAGAGGACAGTATGTAAATTAAGGTGGGGATGAACAGAAATTTGATTCACCCCCTTGCCTTATGAGAAAGAATTGCACATAACAGATGGGAAGACTGAGGGTTAGGAAGTCTCTTCAAGGGCAATAAAGTCAGAAGAGTAGTCTCACGTCCAGAAAGGGCTAGATGAAAAAATTTGAGGGGCGCCTGGGTGGCTACCGACTCTTCATTTCAGCTCAGGTCATGAGCTCAGTTTGTGAGTTCAAGCCCCACGTCAGGCTCCACACTGACAGCCGAGACCCTGCTTGGGATTCTCTCTCTCCCTCTCTCTGCCCCTCTCCTGCTCATGCTTTCTCTCTCCCTCTCTCTCTCTCTCTCTCTCTCTCTCTCTGTCAAAATAAATAAATAAAACTTAAAAAGAAAAAAGAAAAAACCTGAAGGGAATGACATAGTGTGCTTCAGCTTCTTATTATTATCTCATGATCTCACTGAAAATAAAATATTCCCACTTTCACTTCTGAGATGCAGACAGTTCTTGAAAGAAAGTAATTCAAAGCAAAAAATCAGTATTAAATTCCATATTTGATCAAGGAATATGCACCATATGGCAATCCCAAAATAAAGTTATAAATCTAAAACCAATTCTGTCAATAGTGTAAAAATTAGATAAAACTAAATTTTATATAACTTTTTAAAGCAAAAACTAGATGTAGCCAAATAAAAGCTGATAAATAAAAACTCCTTTAAAAAAAACAAAATAAACCCATTGCATGCACACAAAGCCCTAGATTTTCAAACAAATTTCCTCAAACTATTCTGGCAGAAATTAAACATTTTTCAATTGTTGCATACACAAGCATTAGGACGTACCAATTGTAAACCAATTTGTCTCTTGTATGATGGTAATAACGCAGATAACTTTATTTTTCGGTTACACTCAATAAATGGCTGCTTATCTAAGCCAAAGGCTAAGGGCTCTTCTAAACTTTTAGAATTACAGAGGAATCAAAGTTCCTTAAGCCATTAAGTGCCCCCTGTGAAGAATTCCCTTTACAATATCCCTGATACAATGGGTTCCGCTGTTTGCTACCACTTAAAAAAATGTAAGTCCCACCTTATTTTAAATCCACATCTGCCTCCCTCAATTCTTACCTATTTGTAGGATTGTTTTTTTCTAGAAATCAAAATAAGCGATCTTCTTCGTTGCCACCTTTCACAGGCAGCTCTGAATCCCCTCACTCAAAGATCCTCTCCTTGGAAACACGCCCAGCTCCTTCAAATATTTCTCATATAACAGCACTTATTGTCTCATTTCATTCAAACCTCATGTTAAATCTACGTGTACAGTGGTACAACTTCACTTCTTCGCCTAAGAAATTCTTAACAAATGCCTAAGCTTGACAATTAGTCTCTCTTAAAAGAAACCTCGGTTTTCTCCATCTTTTGCTTACAGAAAGGATTTTCTGAATCTAAATGAAGTTCTCAGAAGTCATGCCAATAGCGGGGTCATTATTGGCATTAATTATTTTCCTTAGTTTTGAAGGAATGGGCCAGAACATACATGGCTATTAGATTAAAAAAACAGATCACACAAAACTAGGTTAACATTAATACATAAAGCAGGTTTATTCAAATAGTGGTCAACAGACCATGTGGGGATGCTTGTTAGAAATGCAATTCCTAGACTTCTCCAGACCACAGCATCAGAATCTCTGGAAAAGGATCTGGAGATCTGCAGTTTGAGGAGCAACCTACACAATCTTTGGATATCCTGAGGTTAAAAAATCATGGACTGAAGATTTAAATTGGGTTTTTACCTCCTAGAAAAGGCATTTTAAGTCTCTCACCTGTAATCCAGGAATAAATCGACTATCCTTTTCAACCACCAGAAGTTCAGTAACATTGGCATTGAGAATGGATCTTGTGATTCCCCCTGGCCCAGGGCCCACTTCATAAACATAAGCATTTGTCAGATCGCCAGCTTTCCTTACAATTTTATCTAGGAGAGAAAAAAAAGTTTTAATTATCTGGACAAATTTCAATGTATAGAAGTTAACAAAAAAATAATCTCCACAAATTCTTATCAACCATGACTTAACTAATCCTTTACACCATATTTATCTAGTTATTTAACTCTTAGCCTAAACCAATAAACATGTAGTGGCCATCCAATATTCTACCACATTATAGCTGAATTGTATCAGTCCCTTAGGAAAAACGGGATTATCATGACAAAACTTCCTAACTTAAATGTAGTTAACACTGTATTTTCTATCCATTCCTCTGCCAAACCAATCAATTCCTAACAACTGACCAGCTAAACCATTTCTCTACACTTGCCAGGTACTGAATATCTGAATAAGACCAGTTTCACATTCAGAATTTCTACTGCTCCCAGTTATAAATTCAAAAGCAAAAAGTAATGAGAGCCTCGTTTTTACCTATAGACATATAGCTGGTCAACATGGCCATAGCAACAAGTTCCTAGATCATAGGATTAGCAGAAATTTACAGATTCTTGGTCACTTTTCTGGAAAAAGCTAAACTTATACCTGGAAGTTTTTTAAACTTTGCAAATTGATATGGAAAAGTTAATGTTTTGAATTAATCAGCCTCTTTAAGTAAGCAGACATTAAGAAATCATGAAAAGGATTGTGGCAATCGATCATCACTTCTGGAATAACATACAATGGGCTGGTCTTACTGACGGAGATAATAAAATCCAAGTAAGTGAGGCTCCTGGGATAGTGGGAACTTAGCCACTGAAAACAACTTAGCCAGTGAAAACACACCAGCACTTCTCTGCAGTGTTCGCTGGGATTGTATAGTACCATTTTTGTAGGCTTCAACGCAGTAATAGTCTTTCAACCATCCAAAAATAGTATGCCTTCTGACTGGCTGGGAGGGAATTAATACACATCCCCAACCATTTGTTTTAGGTGGTTTACAAGCTTTCTCCCAGCATCTCAACAATCCTTCCAACACATTAAGAACTACTATCCCAATTTAACTTTTCATTTGTTTCATTTGGGCAAGGTCATTTAGAAAGCAAATGGGAGAGAAGGGACTCCAGCTCAGGTGTAAGTTCTAAAGCAATCCTTCCTCCATTACAGACCAATGCCCTTCAGAGGGTACAGGGATGATTATTATCCCTTTCAGAAGGAAAAGGCGTAATGAATTCAATATTCTCATTTTTTTAAAAATTTTTTAATGTTTTTTATTTTTGAGACAGAGACAGAGCATGAACGGGGGAGGGGCAGAGAGAGAGGGAGACACAGAGTCGGAAGCAGGCTCCAGGCTCCGAGCCATCAGCCCAGAGCCCGACGCGCGGCTCGAACTCACGGACCGCGAGATCGTGACCTGAGCTGAAGTCGGACGCTTAACAGACTGAGCCACCCAGGCGCCCCTATTCTCATTTTTTTTTTTAATGGAGAACTAAGATCGTAGGCAGGTCAGGGGCTCTGCCCTCAAACTTTTCAGGCACATTCAAATACAAATGAGTATCAAAGAGGCACTGCCAGTTCACCAAGCATGTGCTCTCACCAGAGCTTCCCACCGCAGACAGGTACTTTAATCTCTTACTCTGGTTCCCAGAGAAGAGGGAATAGTACCTAGATTCCAGAATTTATCCCCGGGGAGAACAAAGCCTCACATGAGATACTATAAATGAAGAAATTTTTTTTATATTAAAAATATAAGATCAGGGCACCTGGGTGGGTTGGTTGGTTAAGTTTCGTACTCTTGATTTTGGCTCAGGTCATGATCTCATAGTCGTGGGATGGGGAGCCCTGAGTCTGGCTCAGGGCTGAGCACGGAGCCTGCTTGGGATTCTCTCTCTCCCTCTTCCCTGCTCATGCTCTCTCAAACATTTAAAAACATACATACAAAGATCTCTATTTTCAGCCTTGAGAATGGTGCTTTATGTCTATCATATGTGACTAACAACTGGCAATGCTGGCTCTGGTCATTTCTAGGACTAGAGAATTTTAGAAGCAGATAACCCTTTAACGCTCTGGAAGGAGGGGCCCTCCTCCAATTAACATAGGAGAACCTGAAGCTTAGTTTCTACTGGCAGAATAAAGACTCCACATCCCATTATTGTGCTTTGTAAACTCTACTTCCTTTAATTGAAAATGAACTTCTTGGGTATGATTCGTTGATCTTTTTAGCTCCTAAAGGGGGCCAAATGGAGTATCAGTATCTCAAATACTCTACTGCAACAGTGAATTAGTGGACACATTTGTTAGGTTAGTCTTGCAACCTCACCTTCTAGAAGGATCACTAAGACACAGGAGCGGTGGTTAAACGCATGCATACGTTTGTCACCAGACTCTGCACTTCAAACTAGTTCATTCGATGGCACGTGAATTTTACCTCACAGAAAGCGACTTAAAATCAGGGACGGGAACAATGTAAACCTACTAAAAAACGTAAGCCCCTTGCGGAAAGACGTTGCCTTGTTCACTCCCAAACTGCACCTCCAGCACTAGCACAAAGTCGTCTGTTTGACGTGTATTTTACTGAATATTTGCGCCCCGCGGGTTTTGCATTCAACAAGTAAGCGTTTAAGTAAGTAATCCCATGAGCGACCCACTTTCCGACGTGTTCTCGAAGAACTCCCCGCACTAATTGAAATTCTAACTTCGGACTGCATGAAAATCAAACCTAGTGTTAATGCAGCAAGACTCGCATTTCCACAACCGCCTAACACGATACGCGACCCCTGCCTCCCCCAGGGTTTGCTCGGCGTCTGTACCACCTGCTTCCCCTGGCCCACGGCAAACCCCCGAACACGCCATTCCGCGAGCAAACAACGCATTCCACGCGTCTCCTGGGCGGGGCTCCGGAGTTCTTTGCACAGAGCGGTAGAAGGACCTGACCTAAGGCCCGCTGCACACTGCCTGACCCCAGATACCCGCCCGCAGGATCCGCGCGCAGACCCCCGGCCCGTGTCCCCAGGGATGCGGGGAAGACAGCCGGGGAGCACTGAGAAGACAGCCACCTGTCAGCCTCAAGTCCAGGAGAAAATTCTGGGATAGCTGCTTCACCGCTTGCAGCCTGAACAACTTAATGATTTCTCGAATCGTGGGCAACGGCGGAAGGCGGAAAGTGCTCAGCGTCCCAGAAGCAGCCATAAGGCCCCGCGAAACCACCCAAGCCACTTGGCTAGTTTTTTCACGCTGTTCTTAAATCGTCGGGGAGTGGAGAGGGAGGTGGCGGGAGTCTGGGAGCGTAAAGGCCCGCCTCCGAGCCCGCCTCCCAGCCCACCTCATTGGTCGGATGTGCCTCGCCGGAAGCGAAGAGGGCAGACAGGAAATCCGGGTGCACCCAGAGCTCCTGCTCCGCGTCTAGCTAAGCGCGGTGCAGGCTGGGTGTGCGCTGCTTTTCCCTCGGCGGGCGGGGCCTCTCCCGGGTGGGAGGTGGCCAGAGCGGCCCGCGGAGGCGGGGCGAGGCGGGGCCTGGACTGGAAAGCGCAGGCGCGGATCTGAGGATGGGTGGAGCCCCGCACACGCCGTGGTGAATTCCGGAGGGTAGACGTGCCGACTTTCCCCTCTGTGGGTAATTGTGGGAAAGCCAGTGATTGGAGGCAAAGCTATTGGTGGCTAACAATTCTCTTTTATGGTGGGTGATTTTAGAACCTTAGCACTGCAGGTGCCGGATGGCAGGTTTCTAACATCTCTCAGCCTTAGTTTTTTCATCTGTGAAATGGATATATCTGCCTTAAAATTGCAAGCACTAAATGAGAAAGTTGCCCTGTGTGCAGATTCAGAACATAGTGCAATGCATGGCATACGGTAAGCCCGCAATCCATGGTGGTCGTTACTACTGTAATGATGTAGCAGATGAAGGCGACCCAGAAGGTTAAAGGTTTTGAACACAGTACAAAAGTGAGAAGGCTGGAGATAGAATCCAATTCTTCTGACCCTTCTAAACATATTCTGTCAAGGAGAAAAGCCGCCTTGTTGAGAGTTTAGGAAGTCATGTATATTGAATATCGGTTTTTGAGCCTTTCGCTAACAGTCTTACATTACTAGTCTCAGGTCAGAGAGGAGGAAACAAAAACTTAGGTGATATGAATTAATTGATATTCACAAAGCTAGAAAATTGTGGAACCCAGATCCAGTCTAAGTTTCTGGACATGTATGGTGGCGGTTCTTTCTAGTCCTCTGCCTTTGCATTGACTACCAGTTGCCACTCCTTGTTTACTTTCCCAGAGCTTTCTTATTACCCCTCCATGCTCCAAGTTTTGCAGTCTCTTGCATAACCGGAAAGGTAAGGATGAAAAGGAAGGGAAATAAACGTGACAATACTAATAATAGCTAACATTCCCTGAGGTTTTCCAAAAATACCACGCTTCACAGCTGGGTGCTTTACAACTATTATCCCATTAATTGTTACAAAAGATAAAGGCTTAGAGAGGTTCAGCAATTTTTTTTTCCTAGGCTGCATAGCTAATAAGTAGTGGAATCAGGATTTGAATCCACAAGTCTGTGTCCAGAGCCTGCTTTTTAAGCAGTGTAGTCAAGGTAGAGAGATCATTTGACTTGCCTTGAATGGTTACATCTAAGTACAGACTCAAATCTGAGTTTTGTCTTTCTGTTACAACAGAAAAAACAACAAAGCAAAGAAAGACTGAAATCTCTCTGCTAGATCAGAGAATTTAGCTTTTCTGACCCTGGTTTTGCAAACTGCTGCATTGACCACAGTAAATCATAACATTTTTTTTTTAAGTTTTCAGAGAAGTAAGCTGAAAATCAAGCTAATGGAAAACCAAATAACTGGGGAGATGATATGAGTGAAATCAAATGAATGGAATTTCCATTGAAATCTCAATAGAAAACCCAAACAACTACCTTCTGTTACAGCAATATTAAAAAGAACTGTGAGATAATCTGACATACCTCCTAGCTTTAGAAAATTGGAGGTGACTCTCAAAGAGGTAAGGCAGTTTGCCCAAGGCAGCATAGAAATGTAGTTTGAAAGCCTAAACTCTTGATTCAGTGTGTTTATTTTCCACAACATACCATACTTGGGAAGACATTCGTTCACGGTTACATTAATTGTTTCATTTACTCCTCAGAGTGTTCCTATGTGAATGAAATTATTATCCTTATTTTACTGTTAAGGAGTCATTTGACTTACCCAGGATCACACAGCAAAGTGTAGAAAGAAGATTTAACTAGAGTGTTTTCTTTTCTGAGTTCTGATTTCATGGGCCACACCCCTCAAATATTAAATTATTTTTAAGTTAACTAATGTATGTTAATTTTATAATGTTATTTAAAAAAATTTTTTTTAATGTTTATTTACTTTTGAGACAGAGAGAGACAGAGCATGAGCTGAGGAGGGGCAGAGAGAGAGGGAGACACAGAATCCGAAGCAGGCTCTGGGTGTCAGCACAGCCAAGCTGTCAGTAGAGCCCAGCGTGGGGCTCGAACTCATGGACTGTGAGATCATGACCTGAGCTGAAGTCAGACGCTTAACCGACTAAGCCACCCAGGCGCCCCTATAATGTTATTTAAATAAATGGAATATGAATCTGAGTATAAGCTTAGGTTTACAGTTTTCATATGGTTATTTAACTAAAACAATTACAATGAATATATGCAAAGCTACAACATCAGTACAAATGATGTTAAATCAGGGTGTTAAATCACTGCTCTTAATGCAGACTGGCAAGATTTTGTCCTCTTAAAAGTTCAGCTTACTAAGGTTATGGTGTGCCATGTAATGATTTTCTCATCAGTTTTCTGGATCTACATTACCACCAAATCTTTGCTCAGAATTGTTGCCCACGTGCCTTGCCTTTTTCTTGGAGGAAAACGGAAGCTACAAATTAAAGTCCACTTGTATCTGTTTTCATTAGCTTGGAAACAAATGAAGCTGAATTAATTGGCACCAATACTATCTTGAATATGTATATTGCATGGCAGTTGCAAGGAGGATATTCGATGATGTAGAATGTGCTCCATGAACTTTTTAAAAAAAGATTAACACCAACATAAAAACACAAACAAAATTAAAAGGAGTGAAAACACATTTACATGGAGAATTTGTGGATTCCTGAGAATTTATCCTCACATCTAAATAGGAGAATTCTTGTCCTAAGCATGCTACCTTCAGCAGTCAGCATTTCTGAGGTTACATCCTATTATTTTACAAGGCACTTTGCCAAGTTATTGCACTTAATTCTCATTTCAATTCTGTGTTGTCAGTTTGCAAAGATATTAGATGAGCACCATTATGGTGTGGGTAAGCATGAGGCTGAATCTCAAACTCTGATCTTCTGAGTTTACTCTGCTGTTTTACCTCTGGCGTGTGTTAAATAATTGTTGAGCTGAATTTTTAAAATTCCATTTTAGGAGAATCTTCCAAGTTTTTAATAGTTCTTGAGATCTCATAAATACTGATCCTCAGTCCTTTAATTTTCAGAAAATTATGCATAACTCCCTGCAAAGCCTATGAAATCAGCAGGGGGTGTTTTAGTAGTATATTTCACATATTAATGCAAACGGTTTTATCCCTTAAAAGAGAAGTATGAAGTTTCATCAGTTTTGAAGCTTTGAAGTATCTGTTTCATCTAGATATAGATTTTAACATGCTAAAATATTATAATTAATACAGAAATTACTAGCCCCCCCTATCAGTGAAGATGAAGAACTACAAATGATTCAGACCAAACTAAAATGCAGAATTCTAATTTTCATAAATCCCAGAATGGTTATGTAGGAAAACCACTTATTATTTTAGCATTCATATTAATGAAAACGCCTATGTGACTTTATTTGGTATAAGTGATGTAGTGTCTATTTATAGGAAAAGTGCTAATTCCAAAAGGTGGTGGTTTTACAGTTCTCTGAAATAGACTTGAAAGCCACAAAGAGCAATATCTTTCTGCCGTGTGGGAATTTTCAGAGAAAATTAAATGCGGCTCGGAATTACCAAACTGAACTTTACAAAATGACTGTGATGGCATGTGAAGTGCCCTTTTCTGATTGTATTTTATAATTTCACATAATATGACTCAATACAACTCAGTGCTCTTGAGAAATATTAACGGCTGCATTTTGTACATAGGTTTTTTTTTTTTTTTTTAACGGTTGTTTGATGCCCACTGTTCACAAAGGAATCTAGTGACCTACGTAGAGGAAAGAAGGAAATACATGATAATTCTGAACAGACCAAATGCTTATTCTCTGGGGATAGAAGCAGGGCATTGTAGGGCAAGCAACACCGGCTAATTGCCTGAGGGAACCATGTAACAGTTACGCTATTTTTAAAAATACAGTGTTTACCACTATTCCGGGCAGTATTGGAAAGCCTGCTGATTATCCCCAAAGATCTGTGAATTATTGTCAAGTTTCCTAATAAGGTGATGAGGATAGACAACACTTTTGACTCAGGGTGACTCAGCTGTGGGTAGGTTTTGTTTTTTTTTTTTTTCCCCTGCACAATAAAGCAAAACCTTTTTGTGAGTGAAGAAAAAAAATCAGCACATGCTAAAGGCATTGTAAAAAGAATTAGCCTTCATTATATTAATAGCTTTTAGCCTAAACCTCAACATTTAATTGCAAAAAAAAAAAAAAAAGGTTAAGAATAAATAACACTGTGAACATGAATACATTTGCCTGTAAGGCTTTTCCGTGCATTTAAAAACTGATGCAGGACCGAACTGCTCTGGGAAGGGAGTTGCTCTGGGTTCAACCAGTTATGGGCCTCCTTGGACATCTTGGTGACAGCTCCGTCCCTCTGCAGCAAAAGGACGATGAGTGGACTAGTAAATAAGGCCACACCTGTTCCTTCTTTCTCTGCTCTAGGTCCTCCCTCCTTGACCATCACCACCTCAAGCCCTGGAAACCAAATGATGTAGGCAGAGGCCCCGGGAGAAAGGCAGTGGCCCCAGGTGCACTTTGGCCTGTGATCTGCCTTTTTCTGTACCAGTTAGTAAGTTGGAATTCGTTCACAGCCACTGGCTGCCTATTCTTCCAACTGAGAAGGAGCAGGTGAAGACAAGAGGAAGAAGGCTGGGGGGTCTTGCTCAACCTTGATCGGGAGAGCCAGAGCGGGCTTTTGGCATCTTTTCATTTCCCTTTTGGGCCACATGGAGCCTGGTGTCTTCAGAGTGCTGTTGGACTTAACCACATTCCTCTCCCCTACTAGACTTCCCCTCCCCCAAATCATCCCAAATTAATACTTTCCTCACTATTCTCTGCATTTCCAATTTGAACTGTCTTTC